AGGAGCCAGAACTTTCCCGCTCAAGTGGGCTGTGTAAGAAATGACTGCTACTACTACCTTCTGATATTACAGACGATGTTCCCAGAGTCTGAGGGACAGCTGGTGAATCCCAAGACTTGGAAAGTCTTGGATATCGGACTGAAGCTTCAGAGGTCCTACGAGATGGAGGTTCCAATGCACTGGCTTTTCGTGTTTCTTTTCTGTCAGGATTTAAAAGGTTCATCACTGTGGACTCGTAAATCGTAGTAGTTTCTGGCATCGTTAGCTGGAACATGTCAATGTAGTTACTGCTTTCCTTACCTAGAGGGAGCCTATCTTCCCTTCTGCCTTCACCAGAGTGTAATAGATCTGACTTGCTACCTTTCAAAGATCTGTCAAACGACTCTTGGCTTCTGGCAGAAGGGGCACTGGTGCTACGAAAAGCTGAAGTACTCTGACTCTTTGGACTTGTTCCCTGGAAGATCTTGGCCAAGAAGTCTGTCACTTCTGATGGTTGATTATTAAGTATTTCCTGGAGTTTCTTGTTACTGAACTTAGTATCATCCAAACCTGGTTTTACCTTGTTAGTCAAGTTATAAAGATCTAAGTCTGCATTATATGCTTTCGCAGTTGTTTCCTCCAAATGACGTTCATGATTCGTGCCGCTTGCTTCATGGACTTTCTGCATCCTAACTTCAGTTTCCAAGCCATCACCTCTTCTTACCATGTCTGGTAAGGAGTGATGGCCATCTTCAAGAAGACTAGAATATCGAGGGAAGCCTTCAGTAACAAAACCTGCATTTCCTTTGCTGCCGCAATCACCCAAGGATGTTACAATATCGGAATTCCTTCCTCTACCGGACTTACCCATTTCATGAGATCCCTTCCTCTTGATCGACATCTTACCCTCCTGTGACTCTTTATCGGAAATTACTCTCTTCTTGTTGGAGATTCGCTTCTTCTTGGCCTTTCCCCTTTTCCGTTTGCGTCTGCTTCTTTGCCGCTCCTCTCCCGATCTTTCGTACTCAGATCCTAAATCATCTGAGGAATCACATGAGGACGATGACGAAGACGACGAAGACGACGACGAAGACGACGACGAGGACGACGACGAGGACGAAGCGGGTCGAAGGAGTGCCAAACACTCTCTCTTCTTCTTCTTCCAACTCTCGCAGAAGATCTCCTCCATCCGCCCCGGCCAGAAGCTTCCCCAGTCTTCCGTCAGGTCGTAGGTGGAAGGGTCGCCGCCTAGGAGGACCACTTGCTGGGCTTTCCGGTCATAGAAAGCCCGATACTCCTTCCCATAGTCTGGATGTGCCTGGGGCTGCTGCCTGTACATATCGCACTCACGCGAGTGGATCTGGTAGAGTGACTTGACTGCATCTCTAGCCATTGGGTCCTTCTCCTCTGGGCTCGAGGAGCGTTGGGGGTGATGCCTTTGACTCCTTCCAGAGCTGAAACAGATTCATTACATCGTGCCATTAGCCGATCTACACCGGATATTTCCTGACAGGAGGTGTGATAGGAAGGAAGATGGAGGTAGAGAGAGAGAGAGAGAGAGAGAGAGAGAGAGAGAGAGAGAGAGAGAGAGAGAGAGAGAGAGAGAGAGAGAGAGAGAGAGAGAGAGAGAGAGAGAGAGAGGAAGGCAGAAAGAGAAAGAGAGGAATGATAGGAAGGAAGGAAGGAAAAGAGAGAGAGGGAGAGAGAGAGAGAGAGAGAGAGAGAGAGAGAGAGAGAGAGAGAGAGAGAGAGAGAGAGAGAGAGAGAGAGAGAGAGAGAGAGAGAGAGAGAGAGAGACAGAGAGAGAGAGAGAGAGAGAGAGAGAGAGACAGAGAGAGAGAGAGAGAGAGACAGAGACAGAGAGAGACAGAGAGAGAGAGAGAGAGACAGAGAGAGAGAGAGACAGAGAGAGAGAGAGACACAGAGAGAGAGACAGAGAGAGACAGACAGACAGAGAGAGAGAGAGAGAAAAAAAAAGGGAAAAGGAGGAAGTCGAAGGGGGAATGGGAGGGAGGATTGGAGGGAAGGAGGGAGGGAGGGAGGGAGGGAGGGAGGGAGGGAAGGGAGGGAGAGAGAGAGGACAGGATAGACGAAGGGAAGGAGGAGAGTGAAAGAAAGAGAAACTTAATGAGATGGAATATCAACCATGTAAATGTGGGAGTGCATGTTGAGAGAGAATGAATGTGTGCGTGTGTGTGTGTGTTTGTGAATGCATGAGTCAGTGATGATATAAGACTTACCTCTTAAAGGTGAATGAGCTTCTTGAGCTCCCGGAGTTCTGCCGTTCATCAGCTGGATAATAACTTGAATTGGAAGACATGTTCGCTGGGTAGTTCCTTGCCTCTGGACAAAAACGCTCTCTCCCACTGCTCCTGTGTTCCCAGTAGGAGTTGTGTGCTCTGGTGTCCCTCTGGTCAGCGAGTGGGCTCCTGTGCCTACGCAGTTGACTGTGGCTTCTCTCCTCGCAGTTCCGGGCCCACTGATCAGGGGGGGTGTTGCTTCTTCTCCATCCACCCCTGCTTCGATCCCTGTTTAAAGGGAACTGGCTAAAGGTAGGCCTCCAACCATCCCTTCTTGGAGAAGACAGACGACGGCCGAAGTTGCTATTCACCTCTGGGCTGCGCCTGTCCCTCTCGCCAAATCTTGAGTGAGAATATTTGTGTGTGTGTCCCGACCGCGATCTGTAATGACTGTGGTCGCTGATGGGGCTAGGGCTCCTATCCCTGCTACCTCTCAACCTATGCGAGTCCTTGATATCCAAAATGCCCATCACTGACTGCTTGAACTGTCGTGCAGCAGCTTTCATCCCAACCTGATCATGTACTGGGCTCAAGCTCTTGTCCCTGATAAACGACCTCCTCCTGCTGCTGCTGCTGCTGCTACTTCTGTTCTTGAAAGACCTATCCTCGTCCACCTGCCTGTTCTCTCTTTTGCTCTCTGGGCTGTCTTGTCTGTGGAACCCAGAGGATCTCTTGTTCGCCCCCCTCTGAAACACTGGAGACTGAGAGCGAGCTGAAGCCATTCCAGCTTTTTTTGCTTTCGGGTTCTCATTGTTATAGATGCTCAAGGCAGTGGAATACGCCAAACAGGCTTCCATTATCCGCAAAACCGAGTTCTTGGTTAAGTGAACTCCATTATAGAGAACGGACTTTGGAATACGCTTGGGAGTCTTTGAGGCTTCTTCCTCTGAGCTGCCACAGATTATCTTACAGAAATCCCACAGTGGCAGCTTCCTAGATTGAGATTCTGCACGTATTACTTTGTTGACCTCATCAATAATGTCTCTGAGCTTACTCAATTCTTCTGAAGAAACAGGAGCACTTTCCTGTGTACTGCCATCTTTGCTGGGTTTTGAGTTTTCTTCCAAATATGACAATAAATCTACTTGGCAAATGGTAGCAAAGATGACATCACAGCCTTCGTATTGTTTCTTCAATCGATTTTTTAAATTTCTCATATTATCCAGCATTTCTCTGCATACTTCTTCTTTTGACTTTCCCTTAAACAGTAACTCTACCTTCACTTCAGGATTTCCTGTGAGCTTAACTAGATCATATAACCCAAAACTTATCACAATCAATGACTGTTTGAACACTGGAAGTTCCGGTAATAATTCTGCACAAGAGAGCTTGATACTTCCTTCCTCTTTGGCCTTTACTTTGAAATGCAAGTAAGTAAAGTCACTGGTCCACTTCTCCAAGTCACTTATCCTCAAGTCCTGTAGCAGTACAATCTTGTGATACCGTGCCTGGGAGTGTTTCAAAATGATGTCACGTAGGTGCGGGACCATTAGTGATTGTACAGCTTCCACAGATGGGTTCAGGCCATCTTCAAGGTGCCTCTCGACTGTGGTAGGGTTGCGAAAGATGTGGGACTTGAGGAGGTTCCATTCAATCTTTTGCTTTGTGTAATCTACGTTGACTCCGTTCAAGATGAGTCGATTGAACGAGCACAGGAACTGGCAGATATCCATGCTCTGCATCTCATTGTGGGGCATGAATTCACTATCCAATTCGTGTTGGCCCTCTGACTTGTGTGCTGCCATCTGCTTCTCCCGGAATGACCCCAGGCTGACGGGCAGGATGGAAGTGAATGTGACACGGACATTTCCTGACAGGGATTCAAGTGCCTTCTTCACCAACTTCATCTGCTTGAGCAAACTGTTATGGGCTTTGCAGACCTCGTTTACCTCATCTATCTTCATTCTCATCGTTATGGTCTTGACAGCCTCGTGCCCTCCTGCCTCCGTGCAAGGCTTGTAATCCTCCAAACTAATGATCTCATATATGCCCAAGCTGCACACAACCAATGTCTCCTGGTGGGGTGCAAGGGTGATGAGATCCTCGACGAGTTTCTGGACCTCATTCAGGCACAGGAAGGGACGGCTCACAATGTCCACCTTCATGTGCCCGTCCTCCCAAGTCCAGTGGCTGTTCAAATGCTCAATCCGTGAATCTCCAACGATGATCACTCGGCTGTATCTCCTGCTGGATGCCATGGCCTCCTGCGAAAAGGAAATAGATGAATATCTTTTTTTTACACATACAATTACTTTACCTCCAAAACCATAATGGAAGGTGTCTGTAGTACAATTTTTCTCATAAACACACATGAAGCGTAAAAAAAATTAGTCAGAGTGATATGCACTTATATATAATGTGGCCAAGATTTCATTCTGATTAACATTAACTACAGGACTTCATAGCATTTGTGATACAAGCAAAGCACTTGCCAGCCTGTACTCTACTTACAGAAAATCTAGAAATGAAACTAAATATGAATAACAAAATGCTAGAAGTACCAGTAACAGCAAACAAACAAGAAATCTTTCTAACCTTTGCTGTTTCCAAAGACTTTTGAAATTCCTCATCCTCTATGCCTCTCTCCTCTATATTCTCCCTCCTGGGCCTCTTCCTACTTTTGGAGTCTTCCAACTCCTCTCGTCCCCTCTTCGACAAAGGAACTTTCCTCTCCTTGTTGTTTTTGCTGATGTTTCCGCTGTTGATGTTTTTGCTGTTGTTTTTTATGTCGTTGCCCTTTGTGGGCTTGCTCTTGCTTTGCCCTTGATTTGCATTAGCTTGTGGCTGCTCTTTCCTGGATGTGCTGTCTTTAGAAGATGCTGCCTCCCTCTTTGCTGTGGCCTCTTCTGCAGCCTTGCCAGAAGAAGTGCTGTTGTTATTGCTTTTTGCAGCACCTCTGTTCTCCTCTTTGGAGCTCCGGTGACTAATATTCTTTGCCACTTTACTGGGTCCTTGTTCTTTGTTAACTGTTTTCTTTTTGTCTTTGGGGTGTTTGTTCCATTCCCCTCTTCCCTTCTGGTGGCCAGTCTGGACTTTGCCAGATCCTTGTACTTTCAGTCTACTGGAGGTCGTTGCAAGGTCTTGCTGGGGCTCCTTATCATCCGGTTTGTGCTTTGCTTCGCCATTTGCATTACGCTTTACTCTTCCTCCCTGAATCTTTTTATTTCCATTATTCTCTGTTCTCTTTGTTTGTTCATTAGGCTTTTGATTACTATCATTCTTCTTCTGTCCATCTTTCGATTCTCTCTCATCTTTACTATCATGTTTTTTGTTCTGCTCTTCGCTTTGTTTTTTCTCTTCTACACCTTCCCCTCCTCCCTTCACTTTTCCCCTTTCCATGGTCGTCTCACCCTGAACACATCCCTGTAGTGCATCTTTCTCCTCACTCTTTTGATTGGTGCCTTCTGCCTGACAAGACAAGGCCAAATCCTGGGGTGTCTCACTTTTTCCTGTTGCAGGTTTTTCATCTGCATCAGGTTTACTGACAGGTTCCCCAGGAGTGTGCAAGGATGAACTTTCCTCCACATGTGAAATTTTTACTTCATCTGTTTCCCCTTTTGAAATAATGCTATTTACAAAACCACCCTCCCTTTTCCCTTCACAATTTTCTAACACTCTATCACTTCTACTTGGAGTTCTTTCTTTGCTTTGTACACCCCTTACAGTGGTCACTTCACTAGCACCCACTTTGCTGTCCTCCCTCCCCTCTGATCTACACTGTGCCTTACTTTCTTTGGGGGACTCTGACCCATGTCCTTCACTGGGTGGCTGCCTTTCCCCACACCCAGAGCTACTTTCCATTCCAGTCGTAGTACCATTCACCCCACTGCTCCTGTCCCCTTCTGTCAGTGTCTCCTTCTCACGACTGCTGGGGCTTTTTCCACAATCCCCTTCTTCTCTTTCTTTTTCCTCCCCTCCTCCTGCCTTGGGGCTCTGAGGCTCACTACCTTCCCAGGATATTGGTAAGTTACTCTCATCCTCCTCAACCATGTCAGTCTCAATCATTTCATCAAGAATGATGAATTCCTCTGCATCGATGTCCATTCTGAAGCCCTCCCACATGGAACTTTCAGAGTCTGTGTTTAAGCCATCCTTCGTATCCTTTTCGTCATTACTTTCGGCGGCACTGGCATCCCTGGGAGTGCCCTCGTCTTTGGCCTCCTTCGATGACATGCCTCCTTCAACCCCCACTACCCCCTCCTTGGCCTCCTCCTCCTCCTCCTCATGCACATCCTTCCCCAACTCCATCTCTAAGGACCACAGATGAAAAGAATTTGCCAATTCCTACACCGAGATGCACACCTCCCCCCTCAACCCTCACCCTCCCTAGTTCACACTCCACAATCGGTCAATCCCTCATGGGGCTGTTAATAAATCTCGTTATCCACGACCACAACCACATACTGGCAAAACCCACATAAACCACAAGGACACACCGCCCCGCCGTCCCGCAAACACTTATACCGACATCATCACACCGGCTGCTCTGACTTGGTATATTGACTTGCACGCAGGATTAGGAGGAAGAGGTCCGTGCCGCCAGCCATCACTTGCTCTCATTTTCCCAGGAGTCACCTCTAAGCGTCTCTGTTGAAATGAGAGTGGAATGAAAATTCTTTTGCTCATCAAGAAGAATGAGGACATCAAAAACAAAATAAAATCATAACTCATACTATTAATGTAAGTAATACAAGAACAATAACAAAAATTAAGTATTTACATAATACAGAGAATAATATGAAAATCAATAATAATAAGAATAACACCCATAATAAACAACTATGATTAAAATACAAAAATAGTGATAATCTTTTAATATAAATTCACATGAAATAACCTGCTTCTCAGTTTCCTAATTTAACAACACATTAACCCCTATGACGCAGGTGACGTGACCATCAAATAAAAAAAATTTGCCTTGAGGGGCAGGTGACATGATCATGCTGTCATGCTGGCTGAGGGCTGGGTTGCTGGGAACTTGCTGTCATGTGAATTTCGGCTGAAGGTTGGGGTGCTGGGGATGACTAGCTACGAATGCACGAGGGGTGATTAAACTTGGTGGGCATTTTGGAAGAGGCCTTTTGCATTATTTCTATCGAAATGTACCATCTATGAGTCATGACAGGAAAATTGCCGGTTCCAGTGAGGATGCTATTTCCATGCTCTGGATCTTACTTGTGCCCTTTGTCTCTGGTGGCGCAGGTTGTATTACAGAAAATTGAATGAAATTTTTTAAATGACATAAATAACAATGGGTTAAACTGCTTCTGAATCAAATTATACTTTGCTAGTAATAACATAAAATGGATAAAGAGACTATGAGATCATGATTATTTCTTTTATATCTAGCATGTATGTGTTTGTTGTGTTAGAAGATTTATTAATGCAAGGGAAATACATATCAGTGAGAGTAGTTTTCACCTCTCTGTGGGTGTCCTCATATTTTTTTTAATCCTTGGACTAGCTTCTCTTTTTATATATGCTCTGTATTGTTTTTTTTATTGATTTGATTTTTACCCTAAACTGGTATGGTACCTCTTCATCTTTCTCTCGTGAATTTTCTTTTTTTTTTTAGCTATATTCTTATACTGTATATGGCTTTCTGCTGAAATAAAGATTACCATTATCACCATTATCATTACTATTACCACTACTGGCAAAAAGAAATTACAGACCAACTTGCTTCATGTAACACTGATCCTGACACCTATCCATACTGAAAAATCCCATGCCTTCTTAGAAAACAACAACATAAACCCACTAGAACCAAAGGGATGCATGAGGGACCTGGAGATTTTTTTTTTCTTTTTTTTTTTCTTTTTAGACTTAGCTTAACCCAATGCCGCCGGGTATGACGTGTACGTACGTGCTATGCCCACCGTGAGTACTTGTTTGATTGCTTTTACGCACAGATGGCAATACTTGGACTAACTCCCCAATGAGCCAACTACGAGTACCGCCCGTCTCGCCCGTTTACCCGTTTCTTTGATATAAGAAATATTTTACGTTATCTTATTTTGCTGTTACTAATGTTAAAAAACATTATAAAAATGATAATGTTTATGATAAAAATAACACCATCGATTTCATAGCACTAGTGAAAAATACGTTTTTCCCGCCATTTCAAATCAGGCGCTAGCAGAGCCATCCATCAGCAGACATTTCACGAAAAACATAGAAAGTGGGCACAGCATTTTCCCCATATTTTGTTCATTTTCCCCGGCGGCATTGGGTAAAGCTATGTAATTCACAGGAATAACTGTTTACTCGCAGTTTATGTCGAGACTCGCTTTCTTAGTTTCTGAAGTCATTCTATGCGTGTGCAGATTATTTCTGATATCAGTCAGAGTAGTTTTTGCCTCTCTTTACGATAGTGTCATATTTTCCTCATCTTTTAGTAGTCATCATGTGAATACAAACCCATTATTCTGTATACTTGCACACTCAGATGCCAGGCATGGGTTGCATTTTGTTGCAGTACCCTAACTTAGAAGTATGTCCATTTGCATATACTTATTTTGCCTGTCTAGATATTTCTATATATAAACTAACAATTAAATTTAGTTAACATGTCAATACATTTTCAAAAAACTATACTGTTGAATCAGATAAAAAAAAACAAAGAAAAAAGAAAGATTAAAAAAAAAAAAAAAATCATACTTCAAAATACTTATCAATCTAATTCTAAAAAAAAAAAAAAAAAAAACTAATTAAATAAACAAATAAAATGAATTTTAAAAACAGATATTGATGAACTTACCTAACCAAGATTTTTCTCAGAATGGCCTACACTGTCGCTACAAATCAGTGTGTATGTGAGTGCTTGTATCCATATACTCAGTCACACAGCTGATGGCTACTTATATCTCCAAATGACCCATCATACCCAGTCAAGGCCAACAGTCTGTGGAAATTGACTCAAATTAGCAATGGAGTACTTGAACAAGACTGAACAAGATTGAGTGAGTGAGTGAGGTGAGTGTGTGAGTGTGTGTGTGTGTGTGTGTGTGTGTGTGTGTGTGTGTGTGTGTGTGTGTGTGTGTGTGTGTGTGTGTGTGTGTGTGTGTGTGGTGTGTGTGTGCGTGTGTGTGTGCGTGTGCGTGTGCGTGTGTGTGCGTGTGCGTGTACGTGTGCGTGTGCGTGTGCATGATTGCACATGTGTGTGCATGTGTGTGTGTTTGCGTGTGCGTGCATGTGTACATATAAATGTGCATGCGTATATGTCTGATTACAAGTGTGTGGCCCATACACATGTGCCTGTGAGCGAGTCTGTGTACCTGGGTATGTACGCAGGTCAATGTAATAAGCCATAGTTGTAGGAAAATTAGGCTGTTTTATGGAAAAATTAAAATACAGAAATATTATAATGGTCCTCATTATAAATTATGCATGAAAAAAATTTACATGTGTCTAATTAGCATTACCCTCATCTGTATGGCCCTGTATGCTCATTTACTTATTTTCTGAAGTATTTGAGAATTTGCTTTTTAAGTTTATTAAATGATCTGTGATAATTGTCATCATAGAAATATTAGCACCTCATTACAACATGCTAGTTGCAAGCGGTGAAGAAGTGTAAAAACTATATATATATATATATATATATATATATATATATATATATATATATATATATATATATATATATATATATATATATATATATATATATAGTTTTTACACTTCTTCACTGCTTGCAACTAGCATGCGCTGGTTAAGTT